TACTGGTGCCCAGTCCAAGATCCTTATGTCCTGGGGCAGGACTCTGTTCAGCATCTTCACATATGGAAGCTCAGAGGAAGTAGCTTTATTTTTGGTGCTAACATCAACATTTTCAGGGAGTGTGACGCCCAGTCCTCCACAAAACTGTGTGGAGCGCAAATCGATGGTGATGACCTGTGGAGAAGAGACAGAGTTAATGTATGGAGGACTTTATATTGTTTTTTTATTTTGGAGCACCAAACATGAGTCTCAGAACTCACCTGAGAAAAGGCACTGACTCCTTTATCAGTGCGACCACACCGGTGGTAGTTGGAGCTCTGTCTGTCCTGAATCAGCCGCGTCTTCAGCAAAGCTTCGAAGAGTCTGGCCTCCACAGTGTTGTCTGTGTTCTCCTGAACCGCAAACCCTTGGTAGGACCATCCCATGTAGGCCAGCCGCAGAGCCACATGGCGACGAGGGTGTGTGGAGAAGTCAAAGGGACGATCTTTGCCTGCTTTCTTCCCCTTCTTACTGCTGCTGGTGTTTCCATCAGGTCTGCTGTCTGTGTTTTCACTGGGAGCTGGACTGGACTTCATGTCATCTCCAGCTTCACTCTTGTCCTTCAGCTGGGACCTGAGCTTCTCCAAGTCTGCCTCCAGCTCCTTTATTCTCTGGGTTAAAGCCTCTGACATGCTGCCTGGTAAATAAGTGAGGAGAGAGACAATTTAGAGAGGACAGCTTGAGTATTTCTACTAAAAGGGATCAGATCTGTTAGCTAGCTAATGAACACTTACTCAGCTACATGCTACATTTTTTAAATTTTACACTGTAAAACCAAGTGAACCATTATAGTCTATACTTCTGCTTAACTCACAAATGGATGTTACCACAATATTCATCCAGACAGGCAGGTGAAGTCGAGTAAACACTAGCTAAATGCTACACACACTGTCTGTTAGCTTAGCTCGTGTGCTGTGTTTCATAGCAGATATAAATACTGTTGGTGGTTTTAAATAATATCGAGAGAAAAAAAGTTTCTTTACCTTTTATTTTACTTTAAATGTTGCTAATAAACTCGTGTTTTCAGTCAGTTTTCTGAGCTGCTGCCGCACACGTTACTTTTCATGCTGATACAGGTTTGCTACAGTCGGACCGATTTTGAGACCGGACGCATTTCCGCTTAAAGGGTTCCTGGGAAATGTAGTTTACTCCTCAACTTGCCTGGTTTGAAGCAATTAGATCTGCTTTTGAGGACCATACAAACTGTTCTACTGAATGTTTAACGAAATACACCGAGAAGAAGCATATTTTCTCATAGACCTACTTTTCCCTTGTAAAATATTAGATAGCCAAATTTAGTCTCTTTAGTTCTTAAATTTGAGTAGAAAATAAGAATCAGAATCAGGGTCAGGATCAGAAATACTTTATTGATCCCAGAGGAGAAATTGTGAGTCTTTGCAGTTGGTGCAAAGAATAGAGAATTATAAGAAGTGAGAATAAGAGTATGAAATGGAAGTCTGAAAATATAAAGCAATTTTTGTCTTTTGGCTGCCCCTGCCTCAAAACTAAAGGGGACAGAGCGTTTGCTGATTTTACTTAATTTTTAAGTTAATTTAGACTGTCTTTTATTTCCTCAGTTTTTATACACTAAAGATTGTTTTATCAGTTCTTTTAAAAGTTATTGTTTTCATGTTATCTGTTTTAATTATTGACATGTGAAGCACTTTGTAACTCTGTTTTGAAAAGCGCTTTATAGATAAAGATGAACATTATTATAAAATAAAATAGAAATTAAAATATGCATTAAAAATAAAAATAAAATGTGCATTATGCTGCAGTGTTTAACACTAGTGCTTAACATATTAAAAATATCAAAAATAAAATATATATTGTCACTGTGCTGAGGCTCTAAGTGTGAAAATTTTAACTACAATATATACATCAATGGAATAAATCAAGAATAGATAAGAGTAACCATAAGAAATATGTACACTTATGTGCATTGTATGTTGAATATATATATATATATATATATATATATATATATATGCTAAACTATACAATACTATACTAAAACAATTGCACAGTTGAATTACTGCACTAAGTCTATTGGCTTAGAGCAGCCGACACTCTGAGGGAGGAGTTGTACAGGTTGATGGCAACAGGCAGGAATGACTTGAGTGGGTGCAGACATTGTCCAAGATGACATGTATCTTTGACTGCATCCTCCTCTCTGACACTGCCAACAGAGAGTCCAGCTCCACCTCATGATGTTACTGGTCATTGAGCCTATGGACTCTGCTACCCTCAACCTGCTGCCCCAGCACACAACACTGGCCACCACAGACTCACAAAACATCCTCAGCATTGTCTGGCAGATGTTAAAGGACCTCAGCCTCTTCAGAAAATAGGGGCGGCTCTGGCCCATCTTGTAAAGAGCTTCAGTGTCTTTAGTCCAGTCCAGTTAATTGTCAGTATACACGTCCAGATACTTGTAGTCCTTCACCATGTCCACACTGACCCATGGGTGGAAACAGGGGTCACCTGTGCCTTTGCTCTCCTCAGATCCACCACCAGCTCCTTCGTCTTTGGTTCTGCTCACACAAAATGTAAATAGCTGAACTGCTCAAAGCCTCTAGAGATACACAGCATGTAGCGGACATGTTGGGACACAAGCCAAATAAATTAGGAGCCAAACAGCAGCATGCAAGAGCATCATGCTCAGTAAAGTGAACTCCCCTGTGTTTGATATTGTGTCACTATGTTCCTATTTTTATCCTTTTAGAAGCAACTATAGGTTGGTGAATATGAATACACTATACATAGTTTACTGATTTCATTTACATGATGTGGCTGCTACTTATTATTTGGAGTTACTGTGAGATTCTTCACAAGCCAAAAACAGCTGTGGTTGCAGTTATTTTTTAACGCTGTTATCTGGAGATCAGAAGTTAATCAGGCTGTTTTGTTATTTTAAGATAACAAAGCTTGTTTTCTCGTGATAGTGGGTTAATTTATGTTGATTCTTGGAAAAGAAAAGCAGATTTCTTGAGATAATGAGATAATTTCTCACGAGAAAATGGGTTTTGTTTTCTCAAGTTTATGGAATAGTTATGGAGAACTTGAAAAGGAATGTCTGTTTCATTTGATCACAGCAGATTTCAGCCTTCAAGATGACTGTCATGACTGTCAGGGAGGATTCACAACTGATCTAAATGTTTCCCTTGCAGAAAGACGCAATGCATTTTCTGCCTGTGTTAGACCTTGATTGAAGTACAGTCTGATGTGTTCTGATCGGTTGCTACAGTTGTCGAGATGCCATCTCTTCATGCTGGCACAACACTGCTGATCTTGGGTAAACATTATAAGCAGTAAGAGAAAACAACTTTTTGTTGTTGTCAGATCTCATTATCTCAAGATAACAAAGCTTGTTTTCTCAAGATTACAAAAAAATAAACTTGCGATCTCGAGATAACGACATCAACGAAAACAATTGAAAGCACGGTCTTTCTCTGCCGCTGTAAGTTTCCCCCTCTGAGTTACTCAGACCAGAGTCAAAGATGGCAATAACCTGATGACCTCTGGCTCTCAGCCTCAACTGCAGACAATGGATGCTGAGTAAGAACCATACTCCAGCTTAGTTCAAAGATCGACAGGCCTGACCAAGCCCTTCTGTCACAGTAGTCAACTTTCCTGGCTGAAAAGAAACTTTTACAAATCTTTAAAGGTCTAGTGTGTAGGAGTTAGTGACATCTAGTGGTGAGGTTGCAGACTGCAACCCACTGAAACCTCTTGTGTACTAAGCATGTAGGAGAACTATTCCCCTTTTCGACAGTCATGGGCTACCTTCTTGGAGGTGTGTCTTAAACTGATGATGGTTTGTCTGGAGTGATGACATTTAAAAGCAGAGTGCTGAGCCACAGGTGAAGTCCCCTGTTATGTCACAGCAGGGCCGGTAAAAGAAGTTCACCTGTTGGAGGTGAGCTGTTTGCAGAGGTGCAGTAAGAGCCTGTTGTCTGCAGCTCTTCATCAACATCTCACTGTGGCTGTTTCTGATTTTACTCTTCTTCCCTGCCGTATTATTACACTTGCCTTTATTGAAAAGAGGCTGCTAACAAAGTTCTGCTAATTCAGTAATAACAGTTCATTTCCTATAGATACTTCACAACAAAAGTCCCTGTTGTTTTGTTATGTTTTAACTTTTATTGTGAAGCAGCAAAATAAGGAAATGTTGAGTTTTCGAGCAGCAACTTCACACAACTCCTAGTATGGCAAACAGCGAACATGAAACAGTAAAATAAAGCAGATATCTGAAATGCAAACAGGACGCAGGAGAGAAACTAAAATCCACACCACAGAGATTCAGTTAGAAGATACAAAAGTAAGAACTACTTTCTCTCTGGTCTCCTGCAGACAGAGGGGAGTAGAGTCTTGAAATATGCGCTTGTTTTGGGGGTAGAAGCAGGGTCATCGGGAGTTGGCTGCAGTCAGCAAGACGTCACTGCTGCTCGCTTGAGGGCAAGCTTTTGAACCTCCCCCATAGAAGATCCATCTCCGGTATGGCTTGGCGTGTCTAAACTGACAATGGAAACACAACTCAGCGCGGCATGGCTTTACTCAGTGCGGTCAAGAGTGACAATGGAAAAAGGGTACTACAATAGCTGATGAGAAAACGCAAATGGCCCTATCTAGAGCCAGTGTTTAGCTTGTCTGTTCTGGGCCACTGTAGAAACAACATAGTGGACTCCATGGAAGAAGACTCACTCTGTATGTCGATGCCAGTAGATCCACCTAAAGCCTACATACTGGACCTTTAAGAGCACCTCAGAAATCATTTTGTGCTCAGCAGAGCGAGCATCTACATGTCAACTGAAGCAACCATGTGATGCAAGTCAGATGTTAAAAATGCACATTGAACCAGTCGACCAGAATGTATCACGTTTATTGCAAATATTCATTGTAGCATGAAATTTTAATATAAGACTGTCACAGCTGGTGTTTTCAATGGCATACACCACAATAGACCAAAAGATTTCCATCTGCTGGATAACTTTCACACCAACTCATCTGTATGTCACGTTTGAGAAAGAATAAACATGCAAAAGCAAATAAAATACATCTAATTTGGGCAAAAAGAGAGAAAAAATATCATTGATGTGGGACGTTGGCTGTGCTTGACCACGATGACACATCAGCTCATGGTTTCATAGTTTTTTCCTCTTATGTTCAGACACAAGCACACCCCGACTATCACTCCAAAAACCTGTAACAGGCAGAAAGGTTATGAGTTACTGGGAGCAAATGAACTCAACGACAGGTCAAAAAGGTTCTTTTCTCTCTCTGTAAAATCAAATTAATTCTGTATTTCACCACCCGGGGCATGAGATATGCTTTATTATCATTCACGTCATCCTCCACTTACTTTTCAAATGTCTGCATTAGCATCGCCACGAACATTTGCTCATACTGGAAATTGCAGATGATTTTATAAATACATGTGATTTTTGTTTTTCTAAAGACACACTTTGATTCATGAAGTGTTTATTTACCTCTCCGACTCCCAGAGTGATGCAGACAGCACCGACCCACAGCAGGTTCTTCAACAGAAAGAGCTTGATGGCCCGGATACAACCCTGAGGAGGAGCACACAGACACAAAACACTGCCTCGTTTGTTCACAGAGATTGGATGTGGATGTGAACTTGAAATGAGATTTCCCAGCAGACCTTTGTGTGCACTTTGTCCTTGTCCTGACCACAGCCCGGACCCTTCAGCACGCAGCAAGAATCTGGCACGGCGTCGTGGTTCTCCCAGCCCACACTGTTGGACCAATCGTCAGGGCCGTCTGCACCACAGCATTTGAACTGTAACACAATACAGGAAGAGTGCACTAAGGCTGCCTCTGGGGATCTGTCTTTGTACGGTGCACTGTGAAACCAGTCTAGTCTACATACAAGAAAACAAACTGATTTTTGATTACTAACTGATAAATTGCACAGAGAGCTGAGGGACTCATGGAGGCTTACAGCTTACAGTATTTCCTGGCCCCTGGGTTAATCTGGCCCCTCTCCAGTCTATCAAGCACATACAAAATGTAAATCTCTGTGTGTCACCTTTTCCTGAATTTTGTCGATGGTGTGTCTCTTCTCCGGGCTGTATTCATTGATCACCCTTCTTGCTTTGCTGTCGTAGTCGATAGCATTCTTCACTTTTAAGAGGAGAGTCTACAGAGATAAGAAAGAAGATTTTAATTTCTCTATGATCAGTACCAGAGCTGTACTTATAATAACCATGGCCGGATTATGAGACAGTGGGCCCCCAGGACCCCTGGGCACAGAAATTCAAAAGGGCCAACCATGGCTCCTTTACGTTGAATGTGACTACTTCAATTTGGAAGTTACTTTAAATGCCCATCCCTAGTCTTTTTGCATATCTTCATGGTCATTTTGAGTCTCTTCCTGGTCGGTAAGGGGCCCCCGACACTTGGCCCCTGGGTCTGTGTCTGGTAGGCCTGTTCAGTAATCTGTCTATGGTGATGACAAACCACCTCTTGTATGCCTTGAGAAGCAAAATGTTTTGGCTTGATCTCAGGATTTAAGTGTCTCACCCGGCTGCGAAATATGTAGAAGGCGCCCCCTGTGAGTAGCTCCAGAATGATAATGACGATCAGGATGCAGATGAACTAGATCATAAAGAAACAGAGTGAGCAGTGTTAGAGGTCAGGCATGTCCCATATCCCTTAAAGACACCTTACAGCAAAACTGTCAGTGACACATTTGTTGAAACATGTCTGGTGACTGAACAGAGTATTTAATCTAGAATTGAAAACACCATCCTCCCAAAATTGTCCCACAGAGACTTTCTTAATCACATCTATGAGGAGACATTTAACTATATGAAGCATAATGTTACTTACACAGGACACCATGGAAGAACTATTAAAGAATGCCCCCAAGTGGCCCAAGATCGAGACGAGGGCTATGGTGATACCAACTGCAATGAGGACGATAGAGATTTTGGACAGGCTGCTCCCTGCAAACTCGCCCATGTGTTTGTAAGTCGAGTGTTGCTGTACTCCGATAACGATGAGGGCAACACCTGATGCCTGAAAAAGACATTGAACAACTGGACATTAATGCAGCGTACTGTGAATAGAAACATTAAACCCAATGATTCAGTGCCAGTCTGTACAACCTACATTATGACCTGCAGTTTAGTAGAAAATCTGAAAATCTAAAATATTTATTTTTTTATTTATTCTATAGGGGAGACCGGGGTTGGTTGGCACACTTGTTAGTCTCTGCTGTATCATTCTGGTATAATTTATGTTAGAATATTCTGACTATCAGCAAATGAAAGGTTAAGGTTCCAGCTATAAATGAATATGTTTTAATGTGAACAAGTGCTTTTTTAAAGTTAGGTTATTTGTGATTAAAGTTATGTTGTGCATTTGTGCCAACCAGCCCTATCACGGGGGTGCTTGGCACAATGTTAAAATGGCATAGTAACAAAAAATGAAGCAACCAATAAAAACAATTTGAACATTTAATTTAAACGAGAACAAGAAAATATGAACATTTAATTGAATATTTGTCCATTTTTAAGAGCAAATATTTTAATCAATTTATCAGTAGGAAATTTGAATTAATTTTGCCATTGACCGTTCAAAGTAATTATAAATAATTAACAATATAAACATTGTTTTTAACCTTTCAAAATAGTTGTAGTTGCTCAAAATATAGTCATAGTCACAATGGTTAATTTTACAGTTTGTTGCCACATATGCTAACTAACCCAAAATCAGATGGCCAACTAATCCCACTGACATTTGACCCAACTTTGTGACAAAACTCTGTTACAGCAGCAAACCAAAATCACTCACATATGAAAATATAGCTGATTCTTTTGTCAGTTAATTACAATTAACATAAACAACATAACAACTTTATACAACATTTAGCCCTCAGACCACTTTTTAACTTTTAATACTATAAAACTGAAACATTTCCCTCACCAAAAAAGTCAGTAACTTTCAGTTGTTTTAACGTTCATGGGTGCAGGTGAAGAAAGCAAATATTTTGATGTCACATTTTTGTTTTTGTGACCTTCACAAGGCAGCAAAAAAGCTGTGTGCCAACTAACCCCGGTCTCCCGTACTTCTTTTTTTAAATCCCTATTAATTATTTTAATAGACGTAATCAATCACCGTTCCAAACACTTAGAATCATTAAGAGAATTAGCCACATCACTTACCAAAAAGAGCATATTGAAGAAAACAAAGCAACATTTGAAGCTGCAAAACGTGCACATTGTGAGGTCTTGTTGACGGCAATCCAAGTTAGTGTTGTAATTAAACAATAAATGAAGACAGAGAGAAGCAGCAGCCCTTCCTCAGTCTGAGTGTGAAGAGATACAGGCTGAACACCTGGACGTAATTCAGCGGTGAGTGTGTCATATGACCTTATGAAAATGACCAGGCTGATAACACAGGTGGAGACATGACTTTCTTGTCGGACTATTTGAATAGTAACACTGATGAAGTGCAAAAAGGACCATAAACTATGACATGATCTCAGTATAGGGTAGTAGCCTTTATGTGGTGTTGTCATACGTTTTAAAATTTGTAATGTAATCTATGACAGCTGTAAAAAGCTTTTTCTGTTGTTGCTCTACACGTATCAGCATCCTCTCTGTATTTCTGCAAGTTTCTACAGATTTTTTTCAAGCTTGTTGTTTTGCATTGCTTCTTTGATCTACTGGCTGTGTGATGGAGGGGTTACAGCTCCCCATTTAAATAGAACTGAGGGTCTAGATCAGGGGTGTCAAACTCATGTTAGTTCATGGGCCACATACAGCCCAATTTGATCTCAGATGGGCCAGACCAGTAATACCCTTTTTAAGCAACATCAGTTCCAATATTTTCCCTTTTTTTGGGTAAGAATTATAAGTACATTCTGTAGACGTTCATCATTTTGCAAAACAGGTGAACAGCCTGAGCCTTTACATGAAGTGGGCATTGTTTAACTTGCTCCTGAGACCTGGCACCTCTTAGTCTAGTCATCTAGTGGGCCAGATTGGACCCTTTAACAGGGCAGTTCTGGTACACGGGCCATATGTTTGACACCTCTGGTTCAGATAACAGGGAGGTAGGATTTGAAAATAACAGAAAGAAATAGTATAAAAAATAAAATGTTTTTCAGTTTGAATTTTATGGAAAACTGTTCAAAACTGGCAAAAGTGTTATCAATATTCAGGTCCCCAAGACTACAAATAACCTCATCATACCAAATTTGGAAGCCTCTATCTCACTGGTTTTCAAACTACAACTAAGGACATCACATTTTGGGTTTGCTGTTACTTACACTTCATTTTGCTTAACTTGTTAAGCACCTCTTGTTTTTAACTCTCCTATTTATGCATATTTATATTCATTAATTGTCTGTAATTGTTGTGCTTGATCCATAAGATACCTGAATTTTCCTGAGGGCATGAATTAAGTATCCTCTATGTGTCTATCTATCGCTATCTATCTTGTACAGCCATGTTTGGGCAATTAAATGAACAGTTCTGAACAGTTTTAGACTTGAACAGTGACCCTAACCCTTAGAGTTACAAAGCTTTGGACAATTGTTGCATTGTTTGTAATTTTGTTTTTGCACAACAATGTTCAGACATTGATATAAACTGTTTTATACTTAACTATAAATTTGTGACTGTTAAAAATAACCCAATGCCCCCATATAAGGACATTGTTTTTCCCCAAAACTGCCTACTATTCAAAGACAATGCTCAGTCCTTCACTTATCGGGTCCTACTTATCCCCAAATAAATGCATACCAAACATAAGCTCCGATCTTGGGGGGCTACAGGTGAGTGAATAGAAATGTTCTGAATACCCAGGCACTTTCTGAACTGTTTCCCAATGCTCAATGAATGGGTTACAACTATATTTCACAAATCTTTATTCTTAAAGAAAAACAGAGTTGCCGTTTCTTTCTGTCACAGCTCAAAGAGTCTGAGCACTTGGAGCCATCTGACTACTGGAACTTGCTTCTGGGCTTCTTCCATCCTTTTGAGGACCAAGTTCTTCCCCAGAGCTTCTCCACCACCTACATATGGAGCAGCTGCAGGAAGCCTTACCCGACTCCACCGGCTGGAAAAGGACCGAGGCCTCTGGCTGCGGCACAGTAATCTTCGTCACAGTAGAGTGAGCTGCCGGGATGCCTGTGACACACTGCCAGTGTGTCCTCAGTTCCTCACATCTCCTTCTATTTCCATTCATGTCTTTTTCTGTGTCAATCTCCTCAGTGTTTTTCTGCTTTCTTAGAGCTGGAGCCAGAGTGCATCAGGCTGTGAAGGACCATGCTGCTTTCTAATTTTACACGTAACAACAGAAACTCTGTTTTTTCACTCTGTCCTCATTAAGCAGTGAATCACAGCAGGCTGTGTGAATGTATGCGAGAGACAGATCATGAGAAAACAGACTCAGTTGTAGGCCGTGGTGTGAGGTTTTACCCACAAAAAATGGTAATTATTTGACATACAGAGACTGGTTTATCTGTTGGAGGACAAGTCATTTATGTGGACACATGAGTGTGGTTTTATCTTTCTTCTGCTCATTACTGACTCTCTGTCCACGAGGCCTTATCTATTTGCTCTTATTTGCCTGCAAAGAAATTCATGCTGAAGAGATAAAAAATATTTTGGATTACTGCAGCTGAGTTGGCATCCTTTCTTACTGCTTTACAAAACGCAATCTATTTTGTTATTTTCACAGTTTAATTGAGTTTAATAATGGACTTTGCTGGTCTTGATGTGACCATCCTCTGTTTGGCCACCAACACTGATTGACAGATCATTTCTGCAGTGAGGCAACTAACCACAGGAGGGCTCCATTCCACTTTTATTTTAAAATAAATGTGTCCAGCATCTGGGAAGCCATCACACCAGTTTAACAGAGTGATGGAGGGATGGCGTGTGTTTGAGTTTGTGGGAGCAGGATTACACCGAGCCTGCATGTCTTTGAAGGGCTTCATGGGAACAGGAAGTTAAATGATTACCATAGTTGGAGTGCTCAGTCACAGAGAGAGCGTCCTTCCCACTCTTTTTCCTGTTTTGAATTCCACAAGACTTGGTCAAAACCTTGTATGACTTCCGTCTGATAAGGATAATTGTTTAGGAAGGAGGTGGTGTCGTGGCGCTGTTGTGGAATATTTACACGTATGCTCTTTGTACCATAATGGTACTATTCTATAGTGGAAAGGTCCAAAAACGGCAAAGGAAAAGTACCAAATAATGCACTGAAACTTCTATCATATTCTGTCATATCTTTTACCTTATATGGGTATTTGTAGAAATTGTGCCAGAGCATAGAGAACCTGTAGTCAGTGGTACATCTACATCTACATGTTTCGAGGGTCATGTGTTTTCAATGCTCTTTTTTTTTATTATCTTTACACATTTTAGATCTGACACATCAGTTAATGTGAATTTAGATCGAGGAAGAGACTTATATACTGCCCAGCAAATCCAAAATGCAGTACCTTTATATTTTAAGACTAGAATCTGTAATAGGAATATTAAATTTTAGATTTTGGAACATAAATAACATTTGCAAGAACCACAAAACAGAGGCTTTAGCTGCAATTGAAACCATTTTGATGTACAAACATCTTAGTGTTAGTAACACAACATAAATAAGGCAGTGACAAAATCATGATGGACAAAAAAATTAAATAAAATAACACCAGTAAACATTGGCTAAAAACTATCTTAGCAGTTAGCAGTACACGTCCTGTCTGCAGCCCCTGCAGACGAATCCACATGACATGATGTGGCTGAGTAACCTTAATGTGATTTTAGTTATAAAACTGCCTTATCAAGTGGTGGAGAAGCTACATGAGAAACTACAACATGTTTAGTTTGTGTTTTCCCTCCTTCTGTTATTGTCAAAACATAGACAGCAGCAGGGGCAGAGCCAGACATTGTAAACATTTGGGACTCAGCCTAAATAACAAGCTCTCATCCCAGGTCATCAAATACTGACATGTTCTCACGCCCCTCATGTGTGATACCTACGCCAAAGGCACACATTCACGTTTCTATGAGACGCACCCTTCAGTGTCTGTATGTGATGCACAGCTGTCTGAGTGAAACTTGTTGTTTACAGGTGGTTAAAGTTATCAAATGGTCACAGGTAGGTTTAGGCAACAAAACTACCTGGTTAAACATCTTGTTTTGGGTTAAAATAAGTACGTAACATGTCACGGGAGTGATGTAAGTCTGACATAGAGGGATCTAAGATAGATAACATTATGTTCAAACAGCAGTGACTTTTGGTTTCTCTTGGGAAACCATCAGTGATCTTCTGGCTTAAAGTCCGTTTGTTTGACCCATACACCACCACCACCACTCGCTCACCCTACACAAATTTACTTGCTTTTTATACTTTGTCAGTTGCTCTGAGCATAAAATACTGTTGTGTATAGGTCAACCCGGTCTCACTCCAAAGTTGGCGAAATCCGGAGCTTGGTCAGTGACTTCCAAGGTCATACACTGGCGTAAAGGTCATCCTTTCACTTTGGCATGTTACACAGCTGGTCGCCATTATTGTTTGATGGTCCCTAGCGGCATCAGAGGAAAACACAGTATAACAACAACAAAAGTTAAGGCAGCGGAAGTTTGAGTTGGGTGGATGGGACTTTCACCCTGGACGCCGGTGTTTACTTCCCCCCACCTTGTAAAGCCAAACCCTGTTCTTTTTCCCTAAACAACCATGTGCACATGTTGACTAAACGTAACCATGTCAAAAAAGGCCACGTCATGATGTTGTACCGACCATTTATAAGTGCATTTATTTCATAGGCGGCGCTAGGGCAGGATATATGGGGAAGCTACGGGACAGGAAAAAAAAAACTTTAACCACAGGCAGATACATAGGCCTACAGTATTACTGATGTTCATCAAACTGAGGTGTCGTGGCAGAATAATTCCATTAATTCTCTACTCATTTTGCTGTTGTAGCCCAGAAGTAATTATTAATTAGTAATCAATTAATTTTCTTACCTTAATGAAGCAACAGTCGCCGTGGGGCCTTTGTGTTGTATTTGTCTACAATTTCCTCAGGCTTAATCCTCTTAGTTATGTCACTCTCGATGTAGAGAAGCGAAAGAGATGACAGTCTCTGCTGGGCCATAGTTGTCCTCATCCTGTTGCTGACCTTTTGCATCTCTGAGAATGCACGCTCACTCTTTGCCGTCCCTACAGGAAGAGACAGTGCCAATTTAAGCACTTTTGTGAAGTCTGGGTAA